ATTCAATTAACTTTGTTACGCCTAAAAGTAAATCATGCGTATTATAATGAGATATTACAGTCAATATAGAGGCATTTTCACACATACACCGATTCAAAGAAAACCAAGAACTATGAACATATTTGTTTTCAATACTCATATGTATACCAAATGTCGTTATACCCTTGTTATACGGACTTCGAAATCATAAAATATGATAGGGTTGCTACAAAAAAATAATAAATTTGGAAAGGAATATTCTCAGATAAATTATGAACATACAAAAATGGATATATATTTATATAAACCAATACATTGAGAATTCGCATTCTCTATGTGATGAGAATATTTACTCTTTTTCAGTTAATTCAATAGAAAACAACTACTTTCCTGGCTATATGCCACGACGAACATTGAATTACATCTATTGAACACACACGATAAGAGTTTGAAAATAAAATATAAAAATTTCTGAAATTGAGAATTTGCATTCTCCTTCAGACAAAAATATGTATATACACACATTATTCTGAATATTCAACAGAAAACAACTACTTTCCTGGCTATTTGCCACGTCGAACATTGAATTATATCTGATGAACATTCAAAAGGGGAACATGAAAAATAAAGAATAAAATCCTCCGAAATTGAGAATTGACATTCTTCTTCAAATCGGATGAATAATATGATGAATAATGATCTAGAAATATGACTTACCAATATATTCAGCATTGAAATGAAAATTGGAATGTATAGGAGAAGTATACTGGCATGAACTCTGAAATGGGTTCATTGCAATAAAGTCATATAACCTGTGTGTGAGAGATAATATTTCCCATATCACTGATATGAATGATTATTTTTGGACGTTTTCAAGCTCATCAAGATCAGAGTTCATGCCAGTATACTTCTCCTATACATTCCAATTTTCATTTCAATGCTGAATATATTGGTAAGTCATATTTCTAGATCATTATTCATCATATTATTCATCCGATTTGAAGAAGAATGTCAATTCTCAATTTCGGAGGATTTTATTCTTTATTTTTCATGTTCCCCTTTTGAATGTTCATCAGATATAATTCAATGTTCGACGTGGCAAATAGCCAGGAAAGTAGTTGTTTTCTGTTGAATATTCAGAATAATGTGTGTATATACATATTTTTGTCTGAAGGAGAATGCAAATTCTCAATTTCAGAAATTTTTATATTTTATTTTCAAACTCTTATCGTGTGTGTTCAATAGATGTAATTCAATGTTCGTCGTGGCATATAGCCAGGAAAGTAGTTGTTTTCTATTGAATTAACTGAAAAAGAGTAAATATTCTCATCACATAGAGAATGCGAATTCTCAATGTATTGCTTTATATAAATATATATCCATTTTTGTATGTTCATAATTCATCTGAATATATTCCTTTTCAACACTTTCATACCCAATCAGGGGGTTCAAACTTGAACGATGGAAACTTGTGATTTTTATAGACCTCTAATCGCAGATTCGTGATAGAGTCTCAATTCAGAATTCATTTCCACGCCCTGTATGATGAATGTCAATTTATCATACACCCAGAAGCAAATAAATTTGGAACTAGACTTGATCATCAAGTATTTCATTTTGAGTCATTGACAAAAATACACCAACAATACACAAACCGCTAACACCCGCTTCAACTCAAGGATATTTGCTGAAAATGTGACGACTCATAGTCGTATCCATAATGTTTATTAAAATATCACAAAAATATGTGAATGGAACATGTGTCAGTGTCCATGATCAGCCTCATGAATGACTGTAGATGATTCATCGGCAACTATCAGCAATAATGATTTGAAGACCAGAATACCAGATTATCTATTTTCAATAACATTCGTTTTTCATTCTTCATGTACATATACCTACTCACACAGAACACATAAATTTAAAAAAATGAGTAAATCTTCGCCATGTGAATTTGGCACATTATTCATTAATCTCCTATCAGTGTTTAATAACTTCTCATTAGGACTTTACATGGCTAACAGTTTGATGAACACTGAGGAGAAAATATGGATTCTCATACTAGAGATACCCAAACTTTTCAGAATGATGAAATACTCTTGTTCATTTCGCTCTTCAAACCTAGTTTTTTCATAAACGAAATCATATTACCACTGCGATAACTGAAATGTGTATTATTATTCAGAATTATATATATCATCTGTTATCATATTGCATTATAAATTGATCATGTCACCTATTATGTGAGTGTCAATCGAGGATGAATTCAATTTTGTGATTTCGAATGATGAAGATATGGAAGCAATATATTTTTTTTTGCAACCGACACAAAAGATGTTCATTTCAATAAAGAAGAATATCTTTTGAATCGACGTTCCTACACAAACATAGGTATGATGTTGCTAGGCAACACATTTAGTTCCTAGGAGCTAAAGTTGAACTTTAGCTCCTTGGGATGCATACCTGATTTGTTTCTGATTTTGGCAGATTTCGCATTTCTTACCCATGCTGGAGATATAAATACACCATATTATTGCTAAGTAAATTCAACACGTCTAAATGAATTGCTCGATATGACCTCCAATTTTTCGAATACACATGCGAGCCCTTCAAATTAAAGAAAATCTTAGCTTCTGGAAAATATGTGGCTTTTATACAAAATCATTCATACATCCACAGACAATCCCGATTTGCTATTTCTTTCATCAAGTAGCTATTAAAATCATGGATATTATAGTCGTACCTAAAATTTCTGAAAATATTTTTTTTTCTTTTTTTCCGATTTTATTTCCCTATTGTTCGCGCTCGACATACCATACGGGGGGGGGGGGGGTTGGAAAAAAATTTAAAAGAAATCCGCATCCCCCAAAACCGCTCAAACCGATTTTAAGAATTTTTTTTCAAAATTTGTCTCTGAAAATTGTTTCAATACATTCGCTCTGAGCACACGGTATTTCCATATTCGTACGTAAAAAGTTACGCCCTCTTCGAATTTCGACGAAATAAATAGGAGTACCTATGTGAACATAATGAGTTTACCGTAAGCCGCATATAGGCATCAAACAATAACCAGTACTCTTCGAATTATCTTGAAAACGAATAATTTTATCGAAATTTTACGACTGACAAAAAATACTCAAAAATAATTGAACCCTTGAATAAAGATAGATTGGAAGCCATTAGCGCACGTACAAAAAACATATAGGGATAAATGTGTACTTGACCCCCAGTATTTTGAATATTTGACAGTTATTTTCTGTTTTGTTCTCCTTACACGATGTAACTCTTTGTGCTGAAGTAATGTACCAATTTTGAGATTGATATCCTATTGAATACGCGAGTAATTGAAAAAACAGTTTATTCTTTCCAATTTTGACACCTTGTATATAGAATATGAAGGGCTGAAATGAAGAATGGTATTTAGAAACTCATATTTTTCTTGTTCAAGGAATATATGGTTAATGGATTGACCTTCTTTTAGCGGACACCCTGTATATTTCCTTACTAATTGCATTGTATGATAAAGTGTGATACTGATACAAAAATGAAATTGCGGTAAGGTAAGAGATCACACCAGTTCGACGACTGTGTCCGTCCGTGCTCTTTGTCTACTGTTAAATCTGTATTGTGTCCGAATATTCAAGTGTTCGTAATTCAATATGACTCGAAATAAAGCATCTTACCATAAGGATGCAATTAATGCAGCAAATAACTCGTGTGGTGGGAGTAATTCTACCTGAATGAATGTTTTGTACATGAGTTCGTAATAAATACAATGGCCAGTGGAAAGCGTGTCTGCTTGATATGCCAAACGACCCAAGTTCGAATTCCGTACTAATCGGAAATTGATTAATCTAAAAAAATTCTGTCGAGGAATTTACTGTTGCGGCTGATAGTGATTCGCTATTTCAATAATGTTTGTCCATGGAATCCGACCTATGATGAACGTTCCAACTTGTCACATTGGACGTTCCTAGAACGTCCTCGCGTCGTCTATCGACCGACAATTGACGTCTTTGGGACGTTCTGATTATCCCAGATTGACGTCCTGCGAACATTTTCGGTTCGTCTACTTGTTTTCTGGGGATATAGGCAGGACAGGAATTTTTCCCAATTTCTCCATGTTTTCCAGTCCACCAGAGATAATGAGAGAAATGTAAGACATCATTGGATGGTAATGGACAAAGTGGATAGAATTATTGAAAATTTTTATAAATATGATAAATTCAATGATGATTACATCACAAATAGTTATTATACAGGGTGACAATGAAGTTGACTCAAAATATACCTACCATCGAATGGCACCATAAAAAAAACTGGGTTCCAAATAACATTTAGAGGCTTCTGCAGTTCAATGTTCTACAATGTAAAAATTCACATGCGTATGGGCTGAAAGACTTCGGTCAATGGCCTTTTGGGGTATATCCCTAATAAAGATGTTCTCTCTCTCTCTCTCTCTCACATGCGTACAAATTTTCAGACGAAAAGCTCAATTACCTGAACTTCTATCATCTCAATTTTCTTGAAGTGGCAAATTCTAGTATGTCTCCATCTTTTCATGATTTTTAAGATGAAATGTCTCATCGAACAGAATATTGGAGAAATCGGATATTTCCATGGACGTCCATGGATATTTCGGAAATCTCCGTTTGTCAGTATCATCAAACACTGAATAACGAATAACTATAAAATAATATACGAATATTTAATATCCTGAATATCTTATGAATGGCAATGAATGAATCGTGTGTTCAAATGATTTTGTCTGTATTGTCCGGTTTGTCCATAAGTTTGTCCGGGTCGAAAAAATTGGAAAAAAATTTATATGTCATCCATAAAGTGAGAAAAATGCAATTATTGACTCTGCTTCGCTCTGATGAATATTTCAAAATTTCTCATCTAATAATCATGGGGACACGAACGATATCATAACACCTTAGGTTTTTGTGCGTATTGAAACGAAACAATTCTATCAAAGGAACAGCAGTACCTAGATATATTTACAAATGTAATAAAACATAACAAAAACAATAACAAATATAAATCATTCTTCGATCACAAAATAAATCAGTCACTCATGAAATTTCTATGTAACCATCTATCTCATTTTGAGATATTTGAATGTTTTCATTGATGTTCCGGTGACTGAAGTCCAGTCCAACCTCCTCGACCTTCCTGACTTTCTTGAGATACATTTGATTCTTGTGGCTCTTCAGACTGGTGATATTGAGCATCACCATCCCCTTGAGCTTCATAATTCAAATGTGAACCTGAAAATGTCCAGACAGCCATGAAATTGATTGTCGTAGAACTATTTCGTATTGATGTCTTGAAATATCTTTTTAATACTTTCGTATTGTTTTATTCAACGGAAGTTTGTGTCTACACTTTTCATGCAAAAGAAAGGACCTCAATTCAACTTGGAAATGGTCAGACATTTCTTGCAATCAAATATTATTTGGCGAATGCATTGACTTCTGTCTATTTTATGTACATTTGACAGTTGACCTTTGTCACCAACCTCGCAAAATGAACTTTGGACATGTGGTCATTCATTTCGCCGAGCCACACCACGAATCCGCCAGAACGTGGGGTATTGCTGTATGGCACAACAAAAACAGTTGAACCGGAAGTATTGTACAAAATATTTTTGTCGACAAAAGGTAACTGATAATTTTGGCTACCCAGCAAATTTCAAAATCTGAATAATCGAATGATTCAGAAATTACAGCACTAGCCGGTATTGTACAGTTCTCTGTATATCATAGATTTTGTTGCTGATGATTCTTCGTGTTGTTGATACTATTATTCTGATAACGAAAATAGGTATTATTCTGAAGATGCAAATGAGACTATGATGAAGGAAAGTTAATACATCGCTGAAAGTTGGGAATGATCACCTCAGAGAATATACGTATTTAAGATGTTTTGTATCACTAATGTTGCCCTGAAAAAAATATTCTTTACTCAACTCGAATAGAATACTGACCGTAATAACCATCTCCGTTGGTCTCTTGCACACCATAATTATGGCCAGACCCAGCTTGGTGCAAATCACCATTCCATCCAGAATTCTCATGAACCGAAACTGGATACGGCTTAGCTACCTCTATAGGTACCGGCACCGGTCTCTGAATCTCATAAGGTACCGCATAGGGTACCTTCACATATTTGGTCTCCACGACAGGATAGGGCTTGGCAACTGGCACAGGGTAAGGGTGCGGTACTGGAATCTTTACGGGGTATGGCTGTGGCTCTTTGATGGTCACGTGCTTCGTGATATGGATTTCATCGCCTGGAAGGTGGCCCTTGGAGTACTCTCCTAGGTCGAGAATGTCGTATTTAGGATATTTGGTTTCTCCGAATGACTGCAGGTCTGGAACGCCTTCTAGATCTTTGGAGCCGTGTTGGTAACTAGGCTTTGCCTTTGCTGTTGCCAAACAGCAAATTGCAAGTAGCGTAGTCTGAAATGAGGAAGGAAGTGAAATTATCGATAGTGATATCACGATGTTCTGAATATTCGAGGTGATTCTGTCGTTCTGTTGTTCACGAAATTGTTTTGCCGAGCAACATCACGAGTCCGTTAGGAAGAGTGGTTGAAAATACCATGCAACGCTGAATAACCAATGAAAAGTTGTTTCTAGCTTGCGATTGGTCAGATTACGTATGGGTTCTTCAAGTTGAGTGAAATAGTCAAAGTAATATGATATATGGATGCCGTGTGACCAATCATATTTCAACATTTGGAATCCTTATATTTCTGATGCTTCAATCGAGATATTTCCACTTTTGGTTTGCACTATGTGTAGGTAAGCTATTTGGTCGTTCATCAAATTTATTCGGGTTATGATATCGAAAGTACATCTCTTCGACTTCGAAGGTTTATGAATGGTTAGTAGTTCGCAACTATATGCCGAGTGCCCGTTTCTCCTTTGTTCTTTCAGCTGTATAGGTGAATTTGGAATATGGAATATGCTCACTAGAAAAGAATTCAACGATACCGTGTTGTATGAGTTTATTTCAAACGATTACGATGATATTGGCGTTCAAAGTTTCCATATTGTCAATGAATGTGACAGACAAAGAAGTTTCGATATTTCGCCCTCACACCCATTATAATTTCGTCATAATGAGCCTTTATCGATTGTGGAATAGATACATTTGAGAATCAAAAGCTGATGTCATCTCCAGAAGAACCGGAAAATAAAAAAAAAACTAAAATGTGAGATAGTGCCTCTAGTGAGCATATTCGATGTTCCAAATTCCATAAATATATCTGAAAAAACAAGGAGGCAAGGAGAATGATAAATAGATGTTTTCAGAATAATAATTGCAGATATTTCGAACAGTTGCTATAATTATTTTTATGATCACAGTTTGATTCCATTCATTCTCTTTTGTTGAAGATGAGAAACAGATTACTACGGAATTATATTGAATGGGGCAAATTTATTGGATTCTTACCCTATTGACATGTTGTTGAGGAAGTTCAAGAATTTTAGATAAATTGAAAGCAACATCGAAAGAGAGAAACGAGAGTTTTGACGTATTTTGTAGATTTCCTCCTGAATGTACCATGATAACAACCCAAATTCTGAATTGCATATTCTCATCACCATTCATTTTTTCGCACAAATTTTACATGAGTTCATTGAACTCTGATGAGTCCGACGTTTTCTTCGCAAGTTCACTATCATAATTTTCAATTCAATTATTCCATTGCATTAATTATGAGCTGCCATTTCGCTAAGTAAAATGTTTCGTTGTTGAAAAAGAAAATGATTCTGAATGAAAATGTAGCAAGTTACTATTATCAAGGGAAAATTGATTCAAGAATAAACTCATTGTGTTATGAAATTGTTGTTGATGAAGGTTACCTGTAAATGTACCGTTATTCCGATGATTCTTACACATCAAGATCTGGAAGTATCCTTCCTTCCAAATCAAGAAATGTATTATTATGTCATTGAATTCAGAAATAGCATGAAGACCCACGAACGAGACTTTCGATACACATTTTTATATCACCATCTCTTAAAAAAATGGTAGTGGTGATGAAAATTTCAAATCCATTCTTCATCATCTCCCCAAATGGGCCAAATGCACTGAGGAAAAATGAAAATACTCCTCAAAATCTGGTTGTTTTTTTCAATCAACTTCAAAATCATTTAACATTTTTCCACTTCTTTCTTTCGCTATATTGATTTTCAATGATCTCTGCGATGATTTCTTATATTGAATCTCAAATTCATTCACTTGTCAGGTGAAAATCGATACGATCGCCGTAAATGATGTATACATTTTTTAAACAAAGCTATTGGAACATTCTCAAATAATATATTGAATTGAAAAAAAATCCAGAAAAGAAAATTGAAACTACACAAAGTCGAAATACTTACTAATGAAATCATGATTATATTTCACCCAATGTTTCGTAATAACTGAATAGGTAACGGGGAGAGAGTATTTATATACGGAACCGAATAATTTCCGGTACCTCCCTATACCAACAATTCACTTCCACTTTCATTAGAAGTTCGTAAAATCGGCAACAATATAATATTGCTGATAGTTCGAAGTGAGATGCCCTGTGGATTGTCAGACGCTCACATTCGTAATTGGCATAAAGATTGACTTTCTTTGGGTTGATCTTGACTTAGATGCCGCAATCTTCATCTACACTAGTCAACACTAGGAGAAGGTTCCTTTCGAATTCGAACTTCAGAACGCATAACTCCATCTCAGGAATTTGATAACCGCATGCTCATTAAAAATGAGGATAGGAGTTTTGAAATTGAAAAAATTTGTGCTAACTTCCAACAATTTTCTCGCGGAAGAAGGATTATTGAAACATACAGGCTTTCAGCTTCAGAAACTGTTGAAAATGATAGTCCACATAATGACTTCACTGACTCAGTCAGTTAAACCGAGCACATAGTTACCCACAAAGAAATATGACTTCAGTCACAAAATTACGTTGTATATAGTTTCTTGTGCACACATTCCGAAATGAAGTAACTATAACATAGCTTGTTCATGGCAAATTATCACAAGATCATGATTCCACAAGCAAAATTGATGATATGCTGATTGCTAAAAACTGACAAGACCACGCCCACAATTAGTGCGCTGTTGTCACATTCACCGATTCAGATGACCTCTAATGTGAATCAATATGGTCATTAGTTACACAAATTCATTATAAGCAATAAACCACAAATCATTAGGGCACATGTTGAGACAATTGAATTTTTATTGCTCATTTGAAATATTACCAATTCTTGATTGTGAATTTATGAGTTATTGAATAACTCTTATTTCTGAGGTTCCCAATCATATTTGAACACCTGGCAACGGTGCTATGGTCTGCCCCTACTTAGTAAATCGTGGCGTCAGTTTTTACTGGCGATAAATTTCTAGCCGTTTGAAAATTACCGTGGCATCATTGATGATTTTAACACCCAGAATTCGACCAAAAAATTACTAAAAAATATCAAATCGAAAGGTATTTGATTGATAATTTCATTTAAGAAATAAAAAAATATATTTCACCCGCCTATTCAACAACATTGTGAAAAGTGAAAATCGAAGTGGATTAGGAGAAAAGAAGATGTCTCATATTCCTATTATAATGCAAGTGACGTAGGAATTTCAGGCCAACTAGCTTCATTGCAATATCTTTCAATAACAATAGGAGAATCGACTATGATGGCGCACCTCCAGCAAACACGACATAACTGGTGATTCAATGATGGCCCATTGATTTGATCGATGGTATACTGCTGGAACTATTTCTCGTTGATCAAAAAGTACATGTTCATTGCTCTTTCAATCATGTAATACGAATGTTGCAATATCATTGTGCTGGTACAACAGTATATTACCTATGGATCAAGATTACACTATTTTCACGGCATTGGGGAATCTATGGGTATAATCCATTTTACAAAAATCATTGAAACAGTACTGGTTGAACGGTGAATGAATGATACAGGTTCCTCAATGCCATGAAGTCATCAATGAAATGTCAATGTACCATCAGCCTATCAGATGTATTTCATTGACATCATTTTTTCGACAATCGATAATTGATATGTTTTCACACTTTTCACTAGGTCTTTCACTTTGTTTTTTCTATATCCTTGTTATTGTAAGCTGTGGAGTGGACAAATGAATAAATATGGATGTTGTATGGATGCATTATTCAATCTCATCAAATCGAAATAACGAATATAGTTGTATATTTTTCTTCGAGAACATCCGTCGTGATATTACTACCTCTACCATGAAGTTTCAGTCCTAAAACCTAAAAGCAAACTACTTCTACCTCATATTTGAGTCTTTGTTTACAATCGAATCGATTCACAAATGGTTCATTCCAGATGAGTACCAAAGAATTTCGGCCATGTTCCAGATATAACGAGAATACCAATCAACAGAAACAGAATTCGTGAGTGGTCGACCAGATCAGATGTAGATATATAACTGAATACGATAAGTTTTATTGAAGTAATTATATTATTATCATCATAATTATTAGTGGAATACTAGTTTCTATAAATGTAACCTCCATATTCTCTGTGTAAGAATAAACCACTCAATTTCCATTGAAAATGCAGTTCACTGGGCCTACAATGAAAAAGCAATACTTAAATGGAAAGTACTAATGCTTCGCCAATATTTAATTTAATATATAAGAATTTGAAGGCTAGTGCTTAACGGAACATGAACACGATACCGTTGAAACCAATCGTTATTTATTATACAAGGGAGAAAAGTGGTAGATTTTAGCCCCAGGTTGTATCGTATCCTGACGCGTAGAGGAGACAGAAAAACCGTGAGCTAAAATCTAATATTTTTTTCGTGTTTAATGCACTATTTATTTTCTGTGACAGAAGAGAAGGACGAATCAAAATTGGGGAGATATTACATTATATTGAAATCATTAAATTATCGACGGGAAATTTTAAGTTTTTAATAGGAATGACACCTACGTTACAGGCATGTTTTTGCCGGCATTTTTATCATTCTTTTGAAGTATTAAAATATGGGTCAGTCTTATTTTGGGATTTTATTCTGGAAAAATGCGAACTTAGTAGTTGTTTAGTAATTTACGTAACAGCGAAGCCGAATGGAAGATTACTGAAGGTCTTGCAGGTTTTTTGGGTGTATGATAAATTGACATTCATCATACAGGGCGTGGAGAATGCAAATTCTCAATTTCAGAAATGTTTATATTTAATTTTCAAACTCTTATCGTGTGTGTTCAATAGATATAATTCAATGTTCGTCGTGGCATATAGCCAGGAAATTAGTTGTTTTCTATTGAATTAACTGAAAAAGAGTAAATATTCTCATCACATAGAGAATGCGAATTCTCAATGTATTGCTTTATATGAATATATATCCATTTTTGTATGTTCATAATTTATCTGGGAATATTCCTTTTCAACGTCTTGCAGGTCTTTCTCGGATACGGGTTATTGGCTTATTTTTCGGAACCATAGCACAACAAAATCCAAATATGTGATATATCTGGAAAAAAAGTACTTAATGGAAAGTTACATTCTTCAACCTGTCGAAAGAGATGAAATTTCAAACTTTTTCCTAGTAAAAAAAAGTAATTCATTCATTGTAAAACGTGCCTGAACGTCACTTCTCCCTGAATATCTCTGAAATATATCGAGCGGTTTCACAATAATTATTGATCGATTCTCTCTTCTTCCGTGTCAAACTTCAGAACGCTATATTTCTTTATCGCGATAAGTCAATATGTGATTTAGGAGATCTACTGAAAATTCAGAAGAACTGGCAACCCCGCAAGGGACGAAAAGTGTGTGCGGACCAGAAGTTAGTGCTTACGGACGAAAAGTACTCGCCTTCGAACATAGTCGGTTTCTCGTTAGGAAATTAGAATGTAACATGTGATTTTTTGTCGAGGTAGACGAAAAATAACATTTTTCTACAAACGTCAAAAAATGACAATGTTCGCGCATTGATAACAAATTGCGAAGTGACACTTCTTTCAGTTTCCTACGTTACCATGATACCTTGCTCGAAACAATGCGCACAGTAAAACAGTGCGCGAAGTACCTACTTCGCGCATTGTTATGTAAAATACCTATATGAGAAATTTATATTTCAACTTCATGGTCCTCAATCGAACAGATATCCTCGAAATCATTTATTTTTGAATGTTCAACAATAACTTTGTTTTATCTCTTGGAGCGCACGAAAGGAAATTTCTATTATGTTCGTGGATTATCGTGCGTACCTAGAGCATCTTGACTATTTCTTTAACTCGGCTACGCCTCGATAAAAAAATCAGATCTCGATCACCCAAGTAGAATTTCGTGCTCTAGATACAAAAATAACTATTTTCCGAGACTAGTAACGTAAATAACTATTCTAAATTCTTACTTATCGAGAAATAAAAAACCTGTACTTGCAATAACAGAAAATACAGCAACCGTAATAGTTATTTATGTAATAAGGATCATAAAGACGATCATTATGGTACAAGTCGTGAATGTTATCGGGCGAGGCGTAGCCGAGTCCGATAACACGGCGTGTGCCATAATGATTGTTTATGATTCGTATTACATACAAAATTTTATCTGATG